TCAGTTTTCTGTTGAAAAAATGGTACAAGTCAAATAAATTTACACAGGTATGATACAGACATTACTCATTTTTATCAGGTCGTCCTTACTCTTTGCCAAATATATTTACCTACAGAATGCCACAAAATTCACCTGCGAAGGAAAAACAAATTGTGGGTCAGGGTAGTAGCGTATTTCACAGACTGTGTAGTGATCCCAACCCCAATCTATTTTGTATTGATATCACACAGCCTTCCTGCAAAACTCACTATTTTTCTTGCATGCGCACACCTGCGAAAAATTCATGAATCCACTCCAGGTGACGGTAAGTAAGTGGATTAGAACGTAGGTGTAGAATACGTCAGGATCTTCTCTTCACTCTCGACCATTCTACTTACTCAAGCCTGACCAATTCGTTAAATACGATGAAGACATACTGCTTTTTTTTCTTGGTAAGCGATTTGTCATACACCCTTCATTAAATTAAGAATTGCATTCAGAATAACAGTCATTAATAATACATTGACACATCCTTTTCTAAAAAAAAAGACAGTAGAGAATGCTATACTACTCGCTATCTTCTATATAGATGCAGTCCATTAATGTTTTACATAGACTTCAATATTCTGTTGAAGAACTTCAGAGTTGAAACTACAAAATTTGCTCTGAATACGTTGGCTTTCTGTATAATCACTCATATTATCTTGTAATTATTCAGCGAGAACTGCTATCATCGTTTTTCAAAGGTCTCTTTGTGTCATTTTGATCAAAAGAATATGTAAATACTATGGCATCACTTACTTTAATTTGAAATCCATCAAAGTTGAAGGTCCAATCGAACATTTATGTGATGTAAGAAGCGATTGGAACTGTAGTCTTAGTACTCGTTGTTCTTATTTAAGATGTATGAAAATGCAATCATTCTGATCTTTTATGCTTTATGGTCTTAGTACTATTTTATTTCACAGGTTTCTAAGGAGTTATACAAGCGGAATTTTACTGAAGATTGATGCTTAGAATCGTTACCTTTCTGTGCCTATCTGTTTTTCAATGTATCAAAACAGTGAAGCTCATTATTTGACGAGATCTTTAAAACTTGAGTGTTTTTTCAAAGCATACATAGTCAATTAATGATTTTTGTTTTTCATAAGTCACGTTCACTAAACGATGATGAAATGAAAGCAGATTTAATTAAATTTGTCTATTGAGATTTTTATCCAATTAAAGTGACGTGACATTTTCGCAAGTGATTCAATGACGATTTTGTACACTTTTTCATTTTGGTAACACGTCCGTATAGAAGACAGCTTCAACTTCTTCCACATATCTATTGACGGTGTAAAAGACCAGCGTCATCAACATGCTTTCTTTCTTGATTCTGCTCTGCTTGTTTAACAATATTTAAAAGATTCTTATCCACTTTATGTCTCATACGCTTACATGTGTAATTGATACAGAGCATGGTGCATCCTATAGTTTTGCGTCAAGATTAAGAAATTCATCAGTGATACATATTTGTATCTTTGTCATATACAAAGTAGCTTCTAGACAGAGTTCTCGTTGATTTTTATCATACCTCGAGGATTATGTCAGTAGTTATTGCATTCTTTTTGTTCCGTTTCTTTTTTCAGCTAAATATTTATTAATGTATCGAATATTTTTTTTAAATTTTATATTAATATTAATTGATATTTTCTATACTAGATCACAAGAAATTTCCTGTTTAACAAGTATCTTGTTTTATTATGTCGAATAAACTTATAAAAATCGATGATGATGATAATGAGATTGTACCTAGAAAAAAATTATCAACAATTATTAAAGATATTGTTTTGATTGGAATCTGTTTTCTTATATTAATAATAATGATAATAGTTCTAGCCATTATGCGACAACTAACAATTCAATTACTAGCATTAATTGTAATAAGTATAGTCGCAATTTTTCTTGTTATCTGTATCTTTTCAATACAATTATGGATTAAATTAAGGAAGAAAAATGACGAAACATTACAATCTAAGAAAAAGAACGTTGGAAATCGTATAGTCAATACAATAAGTATTGGGTTAACAATGTTAACACTTCTATTATCAGCATCAGTCATGTCACCACTTAATTTAGGCTACGGCTCATTTGCAACATTCATTGTATTTCTTATTTATATGTCAACTATTATTTGGATAATAACACTTCTTGTGTACATTTTAATTATTACAATTAGTTTTCTGTGGAAAAAATCTTACCCAATACGTCAACAATTATCATATGGAACGGTATCATTTTTTATTGGAAGCTTTTTAACATGTTTATTATTTATGTTAATCGTAGCTATGATAATAGGTTCTGCACTTTCCGGTTTCGGACTTGGACTTGCACTAGCATTGAGTCATACACTATTTGTTGGTGGTATTGCTACAGCCATTTTTTATCATTCGAAATTAGTAAAAAGAATTTGCTCTGTATTAGCTGCAATCGGATGTGTAGGAGTTAGTCTTCTACTGTGGTATTATTTGATTGATGGCTACAGTATGAAAATAGACGTTATAATACCAGCGGAAAGATTTCCACATAATCTAACAAATGATCCATCATTAAATGGAAATTATTCTTATGGATTTTTGACATATGGAAGTGGTTTTGACAATCGAATTGAATATGGCTCGCAAGCATCCATTATAACACCAACCATTGATTTATCTTCAATAATTACTATATCATCATTTAATAAACAAAATTTTAAGTATAACGAATCAGCTCTTCCATTAAACGGTCGAATATGGTATCCGATTAATACTAGTCATGGTCCATATCCAATTGTTTTAATGGTACATGGTAATCATATGTCTACAGAATCAAGTGAAAATGGTTATGAATATTTAGGTACGATGCTTGCTAGTCAAGGTTTTCTAACTGTTTCAATTGACGAAAACTTTTTGAATCTTGCTCCACCCTATTCTTCAACTGAATATGGTAAAATGTTAAAAATAAAAAAATATGATGTCAGTTTTAGCAGACGACCTGAATTCATTGCGCGAGCACTCATCATATTAGAAACATTGAAACAATTACGTTTATGGAATAGACAAGAAAAAAATCAATTTTATAATCAACTAGATTTATCCAATATTGGTTTGATGGGTCATTCGCGTGGTGGTGAAACAATTGTTATTGCTCATATGTTAAATAAATTAAAATTTTTACCTGATTATCCAACAACTATATCATTGAGCGATTATAATTTTGGAATAAAAGCATTATTTTCTATTAGTGGTACAGATGATGGTTATACACCATTAGGTTACAGTCTTGAATCACATGATGTAACAATGTTTGGCATTCATGGTATTTATGATGGAGATTTATTATCATTTATGTTTCAAGGAAAATTAAAAAATTTACGATTTACATCAAATAGTAGTAATTATAATTTTAAAGCATCATTATATGTACATCAAGCTAATCATGGACAATTTAATTCAAAATGGGGAAGATATGATCTAATTCCTGGAGTAAATCAGTTAATAGATGTTCGTCCAATAATGAAAATTGAAGATCAACAACATATATGTAAAATATATATGTCTGCTTTAATGAATATTGTTCTTAAAAATCAAATGCAATATCGAATATTATTTGAAGATTATCGTGCTGGATTAACTTATTTACCCTATACAAACTATATATCAACATTTCAAGATTCAAATGAAATAGTTATTGCTAATTTTGAAAATTATGATGTTACTCTAGGAACAATTTCTGGTTCAAAAATCAATGCAACAAATTTATTATTATGGGGTTCAATTTATGTAGACGTTTATCATTCAGCAATGTTAATTCTGCAACCAATTGAAAATTTAGTTGGTAAATATACAATTAATTTACAAAGTCCAATCAATGGATCTTATGTAAGATTTATGATTGGTCGTACATCTGAAGGATTAATAGATAATTTAACAGTATTACTGTGGTATGAAAATGGAACATTTGATTCTTTTGTCGTACATGTACTTCCTGCTCTTAGCAAACGAATATTTAAACTAAGTTCAACAGAATATGTAACTGCTGTACAGACAATGTCTCTTCCATTGGCGTATCCTGTTATGGGCTTAGAATTCGTCATCAATGATACGAATGCACAATTTTTGATCGATAATATAGTTGTTGCAAATTGAATTCTTTTTTGAAATAAATTATTCAAACTTTGATTTCAGTTGTTGTTAAAAGAAAAATAAATACATTTTTCATAGTCGTGTAACAACTGTGTGTGGATGTGGGTGTGAAGTGTTCGTGGAACTCTGAGAGTGTTTTCTTCATCTAAACACCCATGTCGGCTGTCGTAAGTGGATCTAATGAGCTTCAGTAACAATTCTATTTATCAGAATATAGATATCAATAGACAAATACAAAATAATGGACTCGGATGTTTTTCAATAATTTGAATTTCTTATTTTTTTCTTCGAATTCGAAAAAGATCGTTCAAAATCATCAAAGCAATCATTTCTCTTGTTATAGCATATTTGAAATTAAGAGAGCATTCATATTCTAATTATAGATTCGTCAAATTATCACAATATTAATGTATAATTATATTATATCAAAAATCTGTACTAATATCTTGCAAAAAACTCAAAATTCATCTTTCTCATATAGAAAAACCAACGTTCTAACAAAATAGTCAAAATAAAAGTAAAAAAAAAAAACTATTACTCATAAGAACTTCCTTGGTGTACAAAGTCCGAATATGTGTTTTATCTTATTTTATATATTCGACTAACATGACCAATAGTGGATTGTGTACCTTCTAAAAGATAAAGATAAGAAAGATGTTTGTTTGTATCGATATATCAAGATAACAGATATATAAAAGCCAGCGCAATATTCAAAGAAGTTTATGTAACAGAAGCTAATCAGCATCGTTTTGCATACTTACTATTACGCATATTTTAACAACACTTTACTTTTTGAATATTTTCTAGATCTTCTGCACACACGCACATACACAGACAAATTCTAACATGCATATGTCTACACTTTTATCTGCTATTCTTGTAGCACTCTATTGCGTTAGCTTTGTCTCTGCTACTACTGGCATTGCCAATTGTCAATGTAAATGCAGTGTGCCAACAAAGAGAGCTGCACATGAACCAATTGATATTGGTTCAGTGAACATAAGAACTGCTGCATGTGACAATGACGAATGTCTTAGAGCCTGTAACGATAAATATCCATTATGTGAATCAAGCAGAGGTGTAACACAAGGTTTATGCAGAGATGTGTAAGTAAAAAGAAACAAATGAGTGCATATTTGTCTTTGAAATACACACTAATCATTTACATATATAATATAGTGATGTAGACCCACCAACAACTGAGCCAACAACAACAACAACAGTTGCACCAACAACAACAACAACAGTTGCACCAACAACAACAACAACAGTTGCACCAACAACAACAACAACAGTTGCACCAACAACAACAACAACAGTTGAACCAACAACAACAACAACAGTTGCACCAACAACAACAACAACAGTTGAACCAACAACAACAACAACAGTTGCACCAACAACAACAACAACAGTTGCACCAACAACAACAACAACAGTTGCACCAACAACAACAACAACAGTTGTGCCTACCTCAACCACCGGAAGGTATTACAAGAAACTATAATTTACAGACAATCTTATACTTCTCTATCGTCTTTTTATTTTCAGTGTAACCACTGCTCCCGGCTCAACAATGACTACACCAAAGTCAAGTGCTGGTGCTATTAAATCCGTTTTTCAATTTTCACATTTTCTTCTCTTTACTGTTGTGCTTACATTTTTATGTATGTAAAGATAGATCGAGAGATAAAAAGTTGAAAACTTATTGTGGATCGTTCTGAAGTAAAAATTAAATAAATTTAACATCAAAAAGTCGAACTAGAAATCATGAAATAATTCATTTTAATTGTTCTTTTGAAAAAATATGACACTGATGATTTTTGACTATTTATCTCTTGCTTCGATTTTAACAAAAAAATTTTAAAATAAATAATCATGAAGTAACGTTTTATAATAGAAAATGTGATTATTATATGTAATTGATATTATTTTTATGTTGAGGCGTAAGCTGAAGCATAGATTAACAATGGCGTTTGAATTAAGTATGTTATTTCTTTTTTTTATCAACGGTTTTGCATGGAATTTTTAGAAGTTTTAAAAAGGTTTTCTTGGTTTCGAAAAGCAAATAGAAAAAAAAAGGTAAACAATTACAGAGAGAATGCTATTAAAAGAAATGTAACAGAGACACTCGAAAAATTATTTTGCGAACCGAAATTTTTTATTACTCTATTATGAAATTTTTGTTCTGGTGGCAGCGACGATTCAGCCGATCGACTGACTTTATCGAAAATATGCAAGATAGAAAAATGTATTCCTTGTTTTTTCTTAATCTATTCATATAAAAACGAACAACGCAATGAATAAAAATCAGCAAGCAAATAGAAAAAACTTCAAATCTTATCATACAGTAGCCTTATTATCATGAAAGTTCACGTTGCTGTTTGAAAAGAAGATATTCAAGTATGTCACCTAATTACGTTTTAAAATTCAATGTTTTTAAAATTGTTAAAGCTGTCTAAGACTTTAGCTGATAAACTTTTACATTCGTTCAGAAAACTTATTTTATGAAGCCTAAATTGTATTTTTATAATTCGAAGATTCGACGTAGAACGTTATTTTAATGATAATATTGTGTAAATATTGCAAGCAAAGATTTTTCTATGTTGTTGTCGTAATTACACAACTAATGATAAAGTATATAGTTTCAGGAGATAAGAACAACACAGGTTGTGTTTTTGTGTATACAACCTTGAATAAGAAGAATCAAACCTTAAATTCAATTTTAACAAAAAAATATAAAAGACTAACAATGAAAAAACGTTCAGTGTCATCATAAATTTTTCTGTTTTTCTATACATAATCCTTCTGATATTATCTTTTGTGATACTCGTTTATACAAATATAATTAATGTCAAATGTCAATATTCTTGTTTTATTTCGACGACAGATGGCATATGTATCAATTCACGTGAATTTCATTAAAATGAAAACAGATATTTGTAAAAAAACAATTGTGTTGATGTTTGTTAACAAACATATCTTATCTGTCAATTGAGTGAAGTTATTATTAACGGAATATACATATAGTCTATTTACTAAGTCCAATTGGAAAAAAAATTGTTAGTTTTCAATTCTATACAAAACAATATCTCATATGCCAGAGTTTACAGGAGATATATTTTTGAAATTTTTTTGATCTTTCAGTATTACAATCAGCATTCGTTCTGATATCAGATAGAGAGTAAATATGAGACGTGTTTGTTTTTAGAATACACCTTTATAACTGATGGCGACTATTTTATAAACTATTCAAAGATAAGTCTGTGAGTTATAATAAACTAAAAAAGCAAATATCCGATAGACATCATGCACAGTTCATGTAGAAGACAAATAGTAGATGACTTGAAATCGTCTATAACAATATCAATATTAATAAGTACAAAGAAGGCAAACTTTTAAAAACAAACCATTATTTAATGTTATCTATCTATAGCTATAACAATCATTAGGAGAAAGATCTGAAAATCAAGATAAAAGAGATTCATAAATTCTCTAAAAATGAACTATTAAAAAAATGGGAGTCTATTCATTGTGACTAACACTAGTCAGTATAGTCTCGTTTTGTCGACAATATTTTTTTCCTGTTTTGTCGACATTTTCTTCCTTTGATATACCGCAATGTAATAATTAAGCGTCTGATCAACTAATTAAGACTTAATTAGTCAATCACATAATGCATATCCACTTGTTTTAGAGAATGACAGAGCATTGTAGAAATGATCCGCTACTGCTATTTTATAGGTGATGATGCAACCAAATAAAAATATATTAGTGAGATTGTTAGAAATGTTTAATTTCGAATAAACGAAGTCGATGAGTTGCAATGACAAAGACAACAAAGTAACTTATAGATTTCTTCCTTTCTACATTTACTCGAACCGATGCACATACGTATTTGAATTGACAATTTTTACAATAATAGTAATAGAAACCCAAATGGGTGAAAAGTGTTTAATTTTCAATGATTATCGCCACTTATGCGATCGTATTGGTAACATGAACACTTATTGACGTTGTGAAAATTGATGTGAGTGCTTAGGACATCTCACTCATAAAACTGTTTAAATTTATATTTGACTTGCACAACTTAATCATCAGCAAAATCAACAGAACAACAAATGAAAGATATTGCTGTTAGTCATAGTGCTAGGTTGAATTTTAATAATCAGACAATAATTCTTGACCTTTTCTATTAGTTGCCCATTAACTTGTCGACCAAACGCTTAATTATTAGATTGCAGTCTATCAAAGGAATCAAATATTGTCAACAAAACAGGAAAAATATTCTGTTGACGAAATGGGAAGATAAATTTTGTCGACCAACCGGGAAATTTTTCTAATTGGTCTTAGTTAGTTGACCAAACGGAACTTAACCACATTAGACGACTCAACTAACTATTCTGTTAACAACAATAAAAAAAAAAAAAGTAATATTATTATTGTTCGAATTAATATGACATCAACAACAGCATAAATTGGCAAGAATAGTGCTACTTTAAAAAAAATACTTCATGATGTATATTATCATCCATATAGATATATTGATATACACTATTTGTTGTTGTTTTCCTCTTCCTTATAGTATTCGTACTACAATATACTCAAATTGTTATGTACTAAGATTCTCTTACATTTAGTTATTTTCACTATTGCTGTGGCATTTTTGTGTTTTTCGAAATAGACTATAAAAACTAGTCACTTACAACAGTATTTTTATGACTTTAATCTTCTTGATGCTTTGTTTTTAAAACGATATGGCCATGCCCTGTCCAATAAATTTCTTGCTTTTGCATACGATTATTATAATGATAAATAACCAAAGATTGGATCTATATCATTTTCTTCTCTGCTAGTGATAATGACATTATATAGCTTCTTATTAGCAGAAATGCCACAACACTAAAGAGTTACCAATACGTTCCAGCTTGCTATGTATTGTAAGTACATTTTTAACGCTGCCTCGATAAAGAAATATACAGTAAAATTTACTCTTCGATGTATTTGTTTCACTAATGCGTTTAGTAAAAAGATTTATCAACTCAGTAATATGTCTTATATAGAAAAATAACTTAACGAATCACTATTTGTAATCATAAGAAAGTATTGCTCTGTAATAGAAATCACGTCTAATGTCCTTGAAATCGCAAAAAATTTGATGATTAAATGTGATGTATCGGAACGATAAACGTGAACTGAAACGCAATCAATCGTGGTTTTATGATCCATTATTAATCTTCATTATTTGTTTATGTAATCTCGATTTGTACTGTTATACTGAGAAGTTTTTCTTACTAATTTAGAATAATGAATATTTTTATTCAAAAATTAACTGCTTACTTTATTCTACATAAATAAAACATGTAATAAACATTAAAAAAAAACGATGCAGTATTCAATGTTATGTAGTTAAATGAGAACACAATCGAAAAAAAGTAAAAAAAATAGACGTTCTGATATTGAATTGAATTTTTCTGTTAAGTCACCTCACGCATGTTCGTTTTTGGTTAAGAAATTAAATACCTAAAACAGACGAAGGTGTAAAGTTCAAGTTGAATTCTTTTTTCATATGCTTGACATGTACGGATCTCAAGATGTGTTCACATCAAATGACTTTCTTTCTATGGATAGGTGCTTGCATGAGTTATGTATAGGCTTCATGAAAATCATACGAATAAACATACTAAAAACTATTAATTGGAATAAGAAAATCATATATTTTCTACTCAAGATAAAGCCATGCTTCATACGTGTTAGGATTTCTGAATCTAATTTCTCGTATAGATTCTCTGTTTGGTGTGATTGTTACAGTCTTTATTATTTAAAATATGAGTTTCTATTAAGAATTGAATCATTTTAAGCGTAAAATTAAGAAAAAAAAAGTTGAAAAGTTAGACAAGTCAGCAGCGACATAGCCAGAAATTATTTTAAGGGGGGGGGGGGGGGGGGGTGGGACCGCCATTAAAAAAAGGTATTTTTTGGATGAGAAAGAATCACACATCCAGACCCCGATCACGCGAGCT